CCATTGACCACAACACACACACTGACCATTACATGAACCACTGACCGTTATAGGAACCACTGATCACAACACAGACTACCCACTACAAGAATCACTTTGGCAAATAATGAGAATTGTCTGGGATCCAGAATACACACTTGTCCAAACTTTTCGTAGATGTGAGTCTGGTCACCGGTGACTCTCCCTGTTTTCTAATGGATGTGACTGACAGGTGGATTAGCCAATCAGGGACACACATGGTCTGTCTGTATCGAAACAGATATGACTGCTGCTTCTGAGGGAAAAAGAAAAAAATTTAGACCACAGGGGGACGGAAAAATATGGCAAATTTCTGCAGAATAAATGAGCGACGCAAACTCTGCTCATTTGAGGGGAGAGAAATGTATTTTTGTCCATGAATGATGGTGACCAATGAACTCTTTTATTTCACATGCCTCAGTGAAATAAACAAATCTGATTGGACAGTCATTTGTCAGGCTTGAGACGCAGTGGAGATCAGTGGAGATTTGCCAGATGATTATGATCACACCTTCAATTTGTTTATTAAAAGTTGAATGTGTTTGAAAAATAAGTTCCTTGCACATATCTGCCTTTTGGATAGAATTCTGATTCTTGACAACCCCTATAATCCACTTTATTTATATTTTTATATAAATGTGAAGATGTGAAGAGGCAGACCAATAGGAAAGCCAGAGCCCTAAGTCAGCATTACAGTGAGAGCTGCTGACCACTACAGGAACCACTGACCACTACAGGAACCACTGACCATGACACACACACTGACTGCTACAGGAACTACTGACCGCTACAGGAACCACTGACCATCATACAAACTACTGACCATTTCACATGAGTGAGTGAAATAAACAAACCGAGACGCAGTGGAGATCATTCGAGACTTGCCAGACTATTATGATCACACCTTCAATTTGTTTATTAAAAGTGTCTAAATGCATCTGAAAAATGAGTTCCTTGCACATATCTGACTTTTGGATATAATTCCCCTAGAACCCCTACATTCCTCTCTTTATTTATATATTTATATTATTTGTATTGTTATGTATATGGGTCCGGTCAAGCAGAAGTAAACAGCAAGACCAAAAATTAAAGTTAATGCATCTGATATAAAAATGTATTGAACAGATACATATGTACTCTAGTTTATGAAACTGTTGACCTTTTTTCTGTACCATTTTTGGTTCTAAAATTACATCCGTTTTAAACAGACCATGTATGAAACATGGAACAAAACTTATTTCCCAAATTTCAAAGACCTGCAAATCATGTCAATAAATGGATGTATTTCATCATATCTTGTGTTATTCCATCTTTGAACTGTTGATGAAGGTACATGTTTCAAAAAATATATATTTAAAATGACAAAAATTTGCTTGGAAGGACTGACATATTTTATAGAAATAGTTTCCTTTCATTTTGAAGTAATATTAAAGTATTCGGAAGAAAAAAGCTGACAAATAATGTAAAATCCTGCACCTTCTACTTGTTTGCACAATTTGCCCTCCGTTACTTTTCCCTCCGTTACCATGACCTTTCTTAATCAAAAATCTCATTACTCAAAAAGTAAGAGGTTTTTCAACTAATCTTGTACCATATGGTAGAAAACTATATGAAGCAAATATTCAAACCAGTTTGTTAAGGATATGGAAGTGAGAACCAAGAGTTATGACTGTTTGCATTTATTGCCCAAAAAGTGCTGCATATTTCATTCCCTTGGTTACCAACATGAGTTTTAAAATTTTTTGTCAACAACTTGAAAGAATATCACAGGTTTAACTTTACCCTGTTGGAGTGTTAACTCTTTCCTACATTCTAATACTTTACTTATTTCAATAGTCCCTCTAGTTTCTGAATAAGAGACATTTGAATGTAAAAAATCTGCCCGTTTCCCTCCGTTACCACTTGACCGGACCCATTTGCTTTTTCACTTATATTTTGATCATACATTTCATCTATTTCTACATTCTTCACAAACTGCCACAGACTTGGTGTAAAATGAACTATGTAACTGGCAATTGGGTTACCAAAATAATCCAACATTTTTTTAGGGTTTATGATCAATATTTACCACTAGTGTGCAAACAGAGTAAAAATGATCAAACCTTAAAGCCTGTCATGTGTCCTTTCACTGGAGCAGTCCCCTCTTATGGAGAAAGTTAAATAAGTGTGCCGTGTATATTTAGAGTTAAACTGAGCTCACTTTGTGCTAAGCAGCCTGTCGATAGCTGCACAGATCCACCTGACGCCAGAGCAGGGCTGATAAAATGCCTTTTAATTACCAGACAGTGGATGGCCAGGCCTGCAGCTAAGTCAGCCCTTTGATTTCTGATAGAGCAGACTGCTGACGAGGCTCAGCCCACAGCACCAGGCCTTAATGTCACGCCCTGAGAGAGAGAGACAAACGCACTATAGATCCTTCAGCTCATCAGGACGGCCGTGCGAGGAGCATTCATCACAGTCTGGGGGGAGGGGGGGGGGGGGGTGCTATGGCTCGTTTGGCTCCTCTAACAATTAGGAGGGGTCATAATTTGGGACATCACAAGGCAGTCAATAGTTGGTTAACCTGGCTGGATAAATGTAGATACTGTACGGCTCTGTCAGTCGATGAGGTGAACTTGTAACCTGTGAGAAGACAGGAGGGGAAAGAGAGGGAAAAGTGAGTGTGTAAAGAGCGGCTATTATGCGCAATTGACTTCTTTGGAACTTTCTACCATGTTAATAACATTGTTCCTTCATCAAAAATATGCCTGAAGAGGTTTCAGATGTCATGTCTGAGTAATTTAGCAATCTCTCCTGAGCCCTATTCAAACCCTCCTTACTGTTAGCTCTAAGATTCTGTGTAAAGCTCTGCCCACAAGCCGACATCACCCATGCTCCCACACAACAATTCTCCATAAATATACAAACACGAAACAAAATAATACACTACATTGTAACAAACCTGATGCAATGTGCACTAGTTTCATTAGCAGGATGCACACTAATTGTGTTGTGATATAGTACGCTGAAGAAGGGGGACTCATTAATGAAAGGGACACATAAAACATGTTAATGGTATGGTATACTTTTTATTTGTACAGGGACAGTGAACAACAATACATTAACCAAGACAAAAGTCATAGGAAAGATACTGGTGCCAGGTTAAAGCAGGAACCTGTAGTCCCTGAGCAGGTTGGTGGAAATATGAAAGTACAATTTAAATGTATATAAATAAATTAACCACAAATAAATTAAAACAGATATGACTTAGGGTCACTTTGTTCAAATACCATTATAAAAACTACATTCTGCTGATTCAAATCACACTCATCCCTACTGTGTACACATATTTTTAAAGACCAGGGACTTCTTTATCAGATGTGCAAATATTTATTTTCCCTGTTAATATAGCATTTTCAAAACAATTATAGGTAACATGGTGATCTAAATATGTTTTGTGTTAGCAGTTTATACCCATAGAAGTAAAATACTTCCTCTTTAACAACCAGGTCAAAGGAAAAAGAGATCCTTACACTGCTTACACCCATATCATGTCCCAAATACATCTACTAATCACATGTTTTGCTTTAATAATCTACAATGCGAGTTACAAGAGGGAAATGTTGAACAAAACCTGTACAATCAGGCGAGTGTGAATGGGTCTGAATAGAAAGTGCTTTTTTATACAGCAGAGGCCTCGTCTTACACTTAGAGCTTTTCAGCAGGTACAATAATCATGTGATCTGCAGTCAAACAAGAGCAACCTTCAGAAATCCTATTACACATAATGTCAGACCCGTATTGTCTGCTTCTCTGAAAAGTTGATCACATCAATGTCACAGTTTAAAAGCCATCCACGTGGTCTCCTATTCTCCTTGAGGGTTCAAAGGTGTGTATAGGATCGAAAAATTTGCTTTCATAAACGTTTTATTAAAGCATGCCAAGAGAATGAAAAGCAGGCTGTGACAATACGTCCATTCACACGGTTAGTCTATTAAATATCTGTCTATTGAAATCTCTTTACATTTAAATCTCTTTCTTAGAAACCTCAAAAGAACGCTGAAAAGTTAGAAATAGTTGCTTCGATTAACTTTTACTTTTGAGCAGTTTTGACATTGATTTCAGCCATTATGCCAGTAGGCTGTCGGCTGGATATCATGGATGAACAACACAGCCTGAGCCTCCAAACAGGCCAACTGGACCAGAAAGGCAATTCATATCCCAAGTATTACAAATATATAGTGTTTCTCCAGCACTCCACAGAGCTCATACAGGACATCACAATAATAATGAAATAAATAAATACATTAATAATAATAATAATAATAATAATAATAATAATAATTTACGTACAAAATGTTATAATAAAAACATATTGGAAATGTTAATTAGTAATAATAATAATGCCTCAGTTTTACACAGCGTTTTTTGGAACCTCAAAGACACTTTACAGAGTATTATTTATTCACTCCACACTCAGTGATACTATTGTAGCCACAGCTGCCCCGGGGCGGACTGAAGGAAGCAAGGCTGCCAATCTGTACCATCAGATCCTCTGCCCACAAACACAAACACACACCACTTTCATACTAGGCAATGAAGGTGAAGTGCCTTGCCTAACGACACATTGGCGGTTTTTATGACTGGCGCCCCCCGTGTGGCACCTCATTTTCCCCATGGTCTCCCATCCAAGTACTAACCAGGCCCGGCCCTACTGAGCTTCTGAGATCAGACAGGATCAGGCTTTGACAAGCTGGTATGGGCACAATAGTGAAGTTTAACTTCTATGAAAAATGTTTGTAAAAGGGGGTTTACATTTCATTTATGTTTATGGATGAAAAATGTTCCAAGTATAATAATAACATTTAGAAACAGTTCGTGTTATTTACCCTTTTTTTTCTTCTTTTTTTCTTTAGTTTTTTCCCACGATCGCTTCCACACGTGACGAGCTCCTGTCTCGTATTTTACTTTGAAGGGCGATGAGCGGATGTTGTTGCGGAAGTGCTGCTGTGGCTTACAGGAAGCACTTGCTGTTAGCTCCAGGGCTAGCTCTGACTTACAAACAGCACACTTATGCGTTCTGACAGCTCCAGATCTCTGCTCACACCACGTCTCTGTCCTCCCCGCAGTCTGTCCTCACCATGACACGCTCTCACCTCTCACCGTGACTCACATGTGCTGTGTGGAGTCAACAGGATGCTAGCATGTGGAGCCAGCAACACAACAGGAAATTAGCACGTTAGCATAGCCTGTCATTTCCAATAGTTTTAACTGTGCGCATTGTGTTTGTAATAAGCCACTAAAGCCATGGACACGGAGGGGATCGTGATTCGGATCAAGACTCCGTCGGGGGACATGGACTCGCCTGTGGACTATCCGTTCCTGTTAAACTTCAATGACTTGCTGGTTGGTGTGATGCTACAGTGCTCCTTAGCTCTTCTAACTTATTCCAACTCTAGTTCTGTGTCAAAGTGATGGAAACCTGAGTGTGCTTGATGCGTATTGTGCATGTAATCCTCTGATCGTCTCTTCTCTTCATGTCACGTGTTTGTGGCTCTTTCCTCCTCTGATGGCAGGTTTTGGTTTGTTCTGCAGGTTGCTATCAGAGATGTGATGCCTGAAGCCACTGTCACTGCCTTTGAGTGTAAGTCACAGTGGAGATTTTTTATTACATATTTATATGTTTACATAGATTCTTTTAAGATTATGGTGCCATGAATCATTTGTATTTGAATAATTTATTCTCATACAGTTTGTGGAGTTTAAATGAGAGAGGGAAATTCAAGATTTCACTTACTGCCTCTATTGAATATTTAAGCAAAGTTTTTTGACCCGTATTGTTTCTTTTATAAGTTTATAACAATACAATGAACAACAAAGCCTAATTTTGTTATGCCAACGTATAGTCCAGTTTATTTTAGACTTTGGGGACATATTTTGGACTATGGGGGGCACCATAGTCTCCTGTATTAGTGGGAAACACTGATTAAGCTTTAGAGAAGCACTTACATGGACCATATTATTATTATTATTGTTGTAAAAGTGTCTCTTATGTTCTGCTGGATATATTGTAACTGTAACTGACTTACTTTGACACTAAAAAAGTGGTATTATATTTACCTTTGTTTGTATTGCTGACAGATGAAGATGAAGTTGGAGATAGGATCACTGTGAGAAGTGATGAAGAACTGAAAGCCATGCTGTCCTATGTGAGTAGTGCATTCAAGTCTATTCTCTACTCTTTCAGTTTGTGTACTGATGCTCTGTGGATATGGGAGTACAACATAATAGTACATAGTAATGAAAGCAAGGACAATGTATAAGTAACAGTAGCTATGAGGAAGTCTTTCACTTCTTCATTCAGGAAGCAAACAAAATCTTCAGTGTACCATCAGATGGCTGTTACTTCAAACTCATGAGATAGTGATGAAGGATGAACATTTATTATTATATTATTATATCAGTTCAGCTTCTTAGTAGTTATGACAAAATTCAAGAATATAACAAAGAAAACATAACTGTATTCACGATTAAACACCACATCTGTGCCAAAATGCAGGTTTGTGCTCTGGCATAAGACACAGTTCATATCCAGATGATAAATATGTGGTACCCCTCTCTGTACAGTACAGAAGTGTGGTGCTGCATTGTTGTGCCTCCCATGTTTGTGGAGAGAAAAAAGCAGCAATAGCTTTAAGTATGTGTGCTCAGCCTAAACAAAAACATTACATGTTTTCCATCAGCACAACCAAGACATTACACGTCGTCATTCAGTTCTGTGGCTCCACACAGTGTTCTGCTATCCTCCATACTTACTGTTCATGCCACGGACAGTAAGAGTAATGATGTGTAATGGCTTCTCTATGAGGTACACTGAAAGCTAAATGAACTGTCAATTTTTATTATTTATTATTCAGTACTTAAAGTTTTGCCTCATTAAGGCGCGGGCCCCCTGGGCTGCAGTATTGTTCAAAATCTACTCTCATCTGTGGATGTCTTTTACCCCCCATCAGCTCACAACGATGCGGCTGCAGCCACAGGCACAATGCACACGGCGTTGTTTCTGTCCGTTTTTCTCCTGCATTCACTTGTGGATGCGTTTTAATCAGTGCGTAGCATGAAGGAGCGGTGATGAGGCAGGCGCACACATCTGTTGTGCTGATAGGCTCCAGTGGGAACATGCTGTACAAGTGTTGACCTCAGCCACCATGACTCTAACATGTACCTTTGGATACGAACACATTTTTATGTCTGTCTCTGTCTTCTGTGGTGTGTAAGAAGAACCAAGCCTTAACTTAGGGATGTCATAATATACAATGTTAGTGTTACAGTAAGGAGAAACCATCTTCCCATTATTTACAATCATTAACACCATGACCAAATAACAGTGAAATCCTCCAGTCACTGTATTCATACTGTGGTGTAGATGAGCATTCCTCTAGTGTGTGACTGAAACCTTATCTAAACCGCAGCACATACAGCCAATCATGAATCAGTGCTAGTGCAGCCTCTGCAGCTCAGGGAGGGAATTCTGGAGGTTCTGAGCTTTTACATGAGGCCTGTCCATAAACTGAGAATGAGACACACTTGGATGTGTCTCTATCTGCAGGTCAAGGCTCTGGTGATGCAGGTTCAGTTGTGATTGTTGTACCTTTAATGGACAGAGAACATTCTATATAGTTCCTTAAACACACTTAAGGAATGACACAAAACAAAAACATACACATACAAAACAGTGTTTGGTTTTATAGAATCCCTTTTTATTTGAGTGTCAGCTACCATAGTCTGGCCTAATCTTACAACATTAACAGTATTTGAACTCAGCTGTAACCTGCTCCCATTCACACTTTTCCAGACCTGCACAGCTATTTAACATTTCCTGCGCTATATTGCAGATTTATACAATGAATTTTGAAAAACAAATCTAGGACTGTAGTAATGGCTTTCCCCTCCTCCTGGGACGCGGGGGCATTTAAAAAGCTGCTGATTGCTCTGAAAAAGAAGCGGGCTCACATCCACAGGAGCCGAGCGGGCCGAGCGAGCGCCGCGTTCAGCAGTCATTTGCATTCAGATTTACAAGATGTATTTGCTGTTTGCTGCTGTAGCGCTTTGGCCTGAAGACCCCCAGAGGATTTGTGCATTACTATTGTTATTTTGTATTTGGAGGACAGCCATTGTGGGAAATTAATGGGAATTAAGAGAAGCATTCATGTAAGGTTAAATCCAGGATCGTTTGTACTGTAGTCCTGTGAGTGTTTTTGCCTGTAGACTCATTTTACACTAGTTCCCACCAGGGTAGTCTCTAGCAGTGCACTTATTAGGGAATTCAGATTCAGTACTTCATTAACATGGTCACTGTAGGGCTGGGGTCTAACACAATCTCATGTCTTACAATTTAATATTAGACAATTGCATCTTTAGGCTCCAATTATTTACACAGAGGAGGGTAGTTTAGTTTAAGGCTCCTTGATTATGGAAAAAAATCATTATCATGATTATTTTGGTCAATATTGAAATCATGATTATTCAAACGATTATTTTTTGGTTACACAATGCATTTATTCAGCATTTCTCTCTCAAAAACACACTTTGTTATTTGATAATTTATGCAAAACTTTCAAATTGAAAATAAATATAGGTTACACATATATACCTTAGAGCAGATTTGCTATGTATAGAACATAAAATGAATAAAACATACTTTGAACATGAAATGTATCTCTATATTTAATAAAATAAAATAAATGTACTTATTTAAATAAAAAATAAATATTCCAAAATAAAATTTGTTAAATAGTTTCAACTTGATTATATGAGTTTGGAGATCGTTTGACACACAAATCGAAATTGTGATGAAAAATTTATTTATTTGCCATTTACAGTATAAAAACACACACTGGAAACAAACAAACAAACCAAGAAAAAAAAAAAAAAAAGCGAAAAACATAAACAAAACACTATTTCACTTTTTCCCCCAAAACAGCCCAATATGTGACTCAGTAGTAGTTATTACAGTCAGGTCTGTGATTTTACTTAATCCTAACCTTTAAAGAGGGGTTGTTACATTCTGTGGGCATTAACTGTAACACAGAGCATATTTACATCATGTTAACTTTTATTGTTTGGAATGCTATATTCACCGAAAACAATGTATTAACAGGTTTAACCAGTTTCCATTTTGCCCTCCCTTTACTCTGTGCACTAAGTCACCCTCTTTTAGAGTGCATGAGCATTAAACAAGCTCGCACTGCTAACTGTAAGGAGGGTTCGAATAGGACCTGGGAGAGATTGCAAGATTATTCAAACATGCACGGTTGACATCTAGAACTGCTTCAGGCATGTTTTCAACAACATGGTAGACAGCTCCAAAAGGTTGATTTTGCATAATTTAATATATCATTAAATTATATATATAAAAAAACACCTTGTAAAACCCCTTAATGCTCAATAGTTATACTGTTAATTACACCACATTTATTTGACCAAATATAAGCAAATGAATCTAAAGAGACAATTTGATCTAGTTTCGACATCGTAAATGTGTGAATTGTTGTGTCACTCTGATCATAATAATAATCATATTTGACTCTCAAGGCAGTATGGGCATGCTATAGATGTGCTCCTGGTATCACAGCATCCTGCGGGTTACCTATGTCCAATATCCGTAGTACAGGGACTGGACAGCCATGTTTACATTGAGTTTCCGACAATTACCCCGTAGTAATTTTCTGCTCATTCAAGAGCTCTCGTTGCCAACAGAATATTCAATTGTACTTATGGGCGAGCTAAATTAATGCTCAAATTCAGCACTTAATTAACATGAGTGTGCAAAGGGCATTAGCGGTGAAAAGTATCCTCCATGTGAGCGTGCTCTGATTGCTGCTCGCTCCTGGGAGGCCTGGAGACTTGTGGGCACTTCTAATCATTGTTCGACTTGAAAGACAGACAGCCCAGCGCAAAGTTAAAGAGCGGCCCTTGTCAGCACCGAAAAAAAACATGTGACCTCATCTGTTCCTCGCGCGGCTCCCCCTGGAGGTAGGAGTCTTTAATTCCACCATTTGTACTCCCATTTCTCCTTGGTCTGCTAATGATGATGAGACCCACTCGCCGCTCCAGCCTGTCCCTCAAGGCTGAGCGATGGTATTTGGGATCGGACACCATTTAGTTATTGGCCAACAATGGAGAATGTCTTTTAATAACACTGCTAGCACAGATTAGGTGGTAATTGCAGCCTTAATCAATAAACTAGCTGAGCGGAAAATTAAAGGTATACGTGAAAGGCAACCCCCCTTCTTCCAGGCACACACTTTTCTTTTGGGGGAGCGGAGCCTTTGTTGGGAGGTGGCCTGGTGAGAAGGCTGCAGGGCTAGCGCGGGGCTAGCAGCGGCCCAGGATGTGACAGTGATAAATAGGGCTTTTAATAACAGCTGTGCCACTTGGGCAGCCATTCTGATCAGTCTGAAGCCCCTCCCACACCCACCGGGAGACACATTTACATGGCCGCATCCATGAGTTGTTAGTTCAGGAGGAATTGTAAATAAATATTGTAGCGAGTGGAGAGGAGGAGCTTTGAAATGCTGTTGATTGAACCTCAGTGTTCACTGATTCGACTCTGGTGGCCCCTTCATAGACTAAAACACACTGGTCACAAATTGATGATTCAACTCCTACTTTGTTTTTCCCAATAATGTTAGAGTACAAAAGTAATTATATTACATTTGTAATCAGTAGGGGCTATAAGTGACACTTCATTCCATAAATTGTCTTATTTCAGTAATGAAAAGATGGATGACATTGTACTATAGTCTTAGTCTAAACCTGTGGGAAACACGGGAGCCTCCAAAGACAAGGTAGTGTAAACAGACAAAGCTCAAACAAACAGTCTTTTGGTTCACACTGTAACAGATGGTGTGTTGAAGTGAAACATCCATTATGTGTGCGCGCTGGCACACACAGCTCCCTGTGCAGTGTGCATGTGTTCGTCCTGTAGGAGAGCAGTGTTTGGTGAGCTGCTGACCTCCAGCACAAAAGGGTTAATGCTACACTGCCTCAGAACAAGCCCACAGGGCATTGGTCCTCATCTGCAACAGCTTTGAGCGCAGCACGCCGCCTTCACACACGTCCCATTACTGCTGCTGGCATTTCACTAGGAACACATGCACACTTATGTGGGAATCGTGCACATTACACCTGCTTATTACTACGTTTGGAGCTGGATAATGGGATACATGAGGGGTCTTTATTGTGAATCTTTTTCTAAATGATCAAATCAAGTTTAGCAGTAGGAGTTGAACCATGCTCTCTGGTCTGTGAGAAGGCTAATGCTACTGCTGTAATCCTGCAGGTTATGGGAGCTGACTATAGGTGGTGTTGGAGTAACTGTAATAAGGGTTTGGCAATACAATACAATACAATACAATACAATGTATGAAGTAAGCAAAGGCGGCTGTGACATAGTATAGTACAGGTACAATGTCCTCTACCAACGGCACTACCCAACCTTAACCTCTGAGTTTTAGACATGTGGTGCATTGTACTTTTGTAGATGTTTGGCTGTTCATATGTCTCCTGGACCTGTTTATATGTGCGTTTTTTTAAAATTACTCTTTATTGGATGAAACACATTGTAACTAATCACATTTACAAAACAGAAAAGTACTCTTTTACAGTCAGTCTTTGCAAGTCCAATGCTACTTTACTTTAAAAAAACATTTCCTATTTTCAGCATCCTTCTTTTTGTGCATGAATGACATGTCCATGTTTTGTACTTTTCCAGTACTGCAACACCATGACTGAACAGAGGATAAACGGCCTGCTGCCAGACCCTCTGCAGATATTTCCACGAGGTACAGGCTCCATGTTTAATTACACTGCTTATCTCCTCTCTGTGTACTAATGACAAATACTCACTGCATTTCAAAACAGAAATCACTTTGGAAACCTAATCTTACTCTAATTAACACTGGGAGCATTAAGTACTTTGTTGCTAACGCAGCCTCTGGATAATCTTAATATCTGTATGCTTTATTAATTTAGAACAATCGCGTCATAGATTATTACGTTTTGCCCAAAAGTACAGGGGTACAGAGGGTTATAGAGGTCAGCTTTGAAATGACTGCGCCCTCTTCCATGCCCTCGTAGCTTTGGTAAAACTTCCAGACACACTACCCCTCATATTGTGGAGCATTGTGGGCAAACCAACGACATCTCCATGGATACGTCAAGTTAGCGGACCTTCCACCAGAAATGCTGCGCAGTGAATCTTTATTTGAATGCATTTCAAATCCCGCATTACTGTCAAAGAGAAATATTAATGGTCTTACATTACACTTAATGGATTCCTGTGATCGTTAAGCCACGCTGGAAAGTTGTTACCTCATCAAAAACAGGAGTTGTGTTTTGTTTCATTCACACATGTTTGAGTAACTCTTTATGATTAGTCTGTCTACATCTCCAAAGCGCCAAATGCTCTGTTCCACCTTGTGATGTCATGTAGTGGTAGATTTCAAGTAAACAGCTACCTTTTTAAAAATGGTCAATTCCAAAGGCTGAATTTAAACACATGATTCTAGTGAAGGTGTATGCAATTTAAAAACACAGTGGAGCCACATGACAGCACAAAAAGGAAATGAGTGTTTTCTGTTTTAGAAAACAACTCAGCCTAAATTTACAGTATGTGTGGATTAAAAGTGAATGAAACAAAACACAACTCCAGGTCTGTTTGTGATAAGGAAACGACATTATAACATCGATCAGAAAATAACGTAATAGCCCTTTAATACTCAACCATCGCGTCATAGATTATTAAGTATTTCCCAACACTACAGGGGCACAGAGGGGTTATAGAGAGGTCAGGTTTGAAATGACTGCGCCCTCTTCCATGCCCTCTGAAGCTTTGGTAAAACTTCCGGACACACAGCAGCCCTCAGGAGCAGAGCAAAAACACACCGCTATTGTCTATCAGTGCGATGTGTCTCTATATATAGCACACACCACTTCCCCAACCACAACGCTTTGCTAGCAGCCGTCTCCAGAGCCCAACATCTCAATCTCTCTTGTCTATAACTAATTTCCACTTCTCATTTCATTTTTCCCCTCCTTTTTGATCTAAAGAACTGACTCCTTTTCGGCACATTTGTAAATGGCCCAGTGATGTGTTCTACAATCTAGTCAATTACTCTTTCAGCCGGCAAGACTCCAGGGATCCGGAACATACATGGCCTGAAGGTACCTATCTCAATAATTGTTTGAGCTGGCGTACACGGGGAGTGCGATGGGCAGAGCGGGGGGTTGCAGGCAAATGGATTGGTAACGCTGTGTTCCACTTATTGAAATGTCAATTGGAGTCAAGGCTCTCCTATTCTTCCACTCATGCTCCTGTCCCCTCGTCTTTGTTTATGTACAGCGCGCAGCAGACCCAGGCGGCGCACTACTCCTCATCATTATGGGGAATGTTCATTTAAAGTCTAGTATTTGGGACTTCCCTGTAAAGCTATAATGGTTAAAGGCGCTGTACCAGATTTTTACGGCTTTAAAAACGTGAAAAACAGAGCAAGTTCATTTGAAACAGTTTGCAGTGGTCTAAAGTTATTCCTCACTTACCTTATGCATCCAAAACATCCTCATTATTCACTGTGATGAGTTTATAAATGCTTTTCACAACTGTCAGAGACAAGAGCACGCTTTACTGTGACAGTAAAGTTAACAATTAGCATGCTAATAGAGCACTTCCTGATTATTTGAAGATTAAATTTCTTTATAATTAGATGCAGACAGAACATTGTGGTCTTATTTCGAGCTGCTTATACAATGTACTGTAGCTTTGCCTACAATACATGAAAACAGGATCTTTAATCTTAAAAAACAAAACAAAAAAAAACTATTAAACCTCTAAAACTACAATTTAAACCTTACATTTTGTAAATAAGTAAAAGTGTGTGCATGTGCATTTACTATGCTCTTTGTAATAGCCTTGTCTAAAATGTTCCACAGTAGAGCATTAAACTTCATTATGGTGCATAATGAATTTATTCAATTCCACATATCCTGTGTGTAATGTGCTTCTTGCCTCCATAGAGGTGGCTGTTTAATGTCATGTTGTGGTGTGTTCTAACACTAACCCGTCACCAGAAAACGTACATAGTACATCTTTATTTTAACACATTTCAGATTTTTCAGATTACACATAGCTGCTATACAGAAACAGAAAACATACATTGATATAAAGACAAATATGTCGTAAAACGTACATTTTAACACAACCCCACACAGTCCCTCACAGTTTACTCTGGGCTTACTGTTGGCAAAGGCTGCAGTTATTCAAGTGACATCATTTCCTTTGCAAACCACAAAATATTTAGTTGTAGTGTGTATGAAATCTGTACAGAGATAATCTGAAAAGCATGGGCTTCTTCACATACTTCCCCTATTCATAGTTGATGGGTCAAATGCAGAGAATGAATTCTTCTCATAAATATTATAGTATTATATATATTATATAGTCCAGTCTTCTGATTTTAACCATAAATCACACATCACAATCAGAATGTGTAAAAAAAATATATATATACTATCAATATTTTTATTGAAAAATTGTTCAGCCCTATTTGCTCCTTGTACATGTTCATCTCAATTTATCATGAAATAGAACCAAATATGTCCATAAAATGTAAGAAATGGAAAACTAGTGGTTGGTGGTAGTAGTAGTAGTAGTACTAGTAGTGGTGGTATAGGTAGTAGTAGATAATAGTAATAGTAAGTAAGTTTTATCTTACATTAGATTTATTGACCTTCAAATTAAATAATACATAAGTACGTGTTTAGCATTACTGCTAAACTACAGGTATACTGCTGTTAATAGTACCTTGATGGCTTTTGTGAAATAAATAAGTGTAAATAAATCAGCACATACCAACCCCTGGGAATAAACAGCCGTACCAGCAGTGTCTTTAGGACCTTAGCTGTCCCTTTAAAAGCAGCTGTGTGAGTGCTCTGGTCTGTTTCCTTAGGACTGTAGGACTATTTATTTGTTTATTTCATTCATAAAATATAAGAAGACATTAACAGTGTCCTAACATTAAACATAAAACAAATGAATGAAAAGGAGCAGAAAGACTTGTGACTATAATGACAGTTTCACAGCTGAGCGATGCTCCTCCTTCATTCATAATCGGCCCTCAGCGTACCAGCTATGTCACTCATATGTCGCTGTGAAACCCACTGCTAATTACAATGGGTTCAATGACTTGACTCCTTTTTATATTCATAGATCATAGATGTGAAATCTCTATTCAAAAGTCCATTCAGCTAAAAGAGCAAAGTGTCTCACCAAGGACAAACAGCTAAAGAGGGGTATTATGCAAAATCGACTTTTTTTCTCTTCAGTGTATATTTGAGTAATTTAGCGATCTCTTCCAGACCCTCCTCGACCTCTCTTTTTGTTTAGCAGTGTGATTCTTTACAACATCATCCTTGCTCCCACACAGCAATTATCAATATAATCCATAAATATATGAAAGCATGTACAAAAAGTGTACACTACAACTTCACAAACCTGAAAAGATGTGCAGTAGTATATTTCAGTATATAGACAATATAGTATTTTCAAAACAGTAAAAGGTAACATGGTGATCTAAATATGTTATCTGTTAGCAGTTAATAGCCCATAGAAGTAAAATACCCCCTCTTTAAAAGATGTTTTTGTCAAAGCTGTAAATGCTACCCTTTTTCCTCCACTTTTAATATCAGCGTAATTGGCACATTAAGTGTTATGTGCCATGTAAATTAGGTCTTCCTGGGCACTAATTAAACAGAGAATCCCTATGCTTTTGCAGACCCAACACAGCGACTTTTCGACCTCAATTAAACAAGTTATTTTTAGTATGGCGTTTACAAGCTGCCGGCTGCTCTTTCGCGTTCGATATCTGGGTTGAGCGCAGAGGTCTATAGAGTAAACATGCATTTTAATAGACGTAAATGCTCCCCCGCGAAATGGCTTGATCCTCTCATAATTTTCGGCAACCAATTTATTGTCAATTCCCTTTTAATGGCTCCTCCCGTTGGCCATCGGCAGCGCGTCCTTGTGGGCATCTCCACTCTCCTCTCCCACAAAAGCCAATTAACCTCTGGGCCCAAGTGAGAGCCAGTGTTTTGTTCTTGTTCATTAGGTGGTCCGCTCGTATGTCTGTCTGCCTGTTAGTCTGTCCACTTAGCTTGTCCGGGAGGGTGTTGCAGCAGCTATTAAATGTGTGTTTGTGTGGACCTCCAGGTTAATACGAGGACCAGCCCAGCCAATGACTGCACGCACGCCGTCCCCAACTCCATAGCCAACAACAGGTGAGGGCCACAGGGCAAGATGGTGATTCTGGGACAGAGTAAAGGGTGTGCTGCTGAAAAAATGAACATGATTAAGAACAGGTTTAGAGCCAAGAGATTAATCACAATTGAAACAAAGTCACAAACAAATAGAATTTATCAGATCAAATTCAGAATTCTCTATATGCAAAACTAATGTGTTTGTGTACGCTTCAGTTTAGTGTTATCTTTACAAAGCCTATTATCCATGTAATTTAAACCGTACATGTTTTGAAATGCATGGGATGACCGAGAGCTGTAGTTTGCATTTTTTGGAAGAAGATGATTATAGCAAAGGAGAAATTCAGTTCTGTCAACTGGACAATTTAATTCCTCCTTTGCTGACTCCTGCCTGGATGACTGAAACATTACATGCAGAAGAGACTTAGAACTTTTTTTGTTTCACCCAAAATGACCAACAGCTAAATGAATGAACAGATTTATTAAAAAAATAATAATAATAAATAAATAAATAAAAAAACAAGTGAAGGCGAAGTGAAAATCAGAATGTATTGCTGACAAAATGTTCAAATAAATTGTCTTTTTGTTGTAGCTTAAAGAAATCATCTGCTGAACTGAAGAGGATCCTCTCAAATGGACAGGTGAGCCTCAACTGGAGATGCTAAGGAGGAATTATAGAGATGCTATTGCTGTGGAATGTTCCACAGTGTGGCAATAAATAAGTCAGGTCTATGGAAAGGTAATCCCACCCAAGAAGGTATTTTAGAGCAGCGATAATTGAATGCATGCAAGACAGACAAGTATAATGCCATATAGCATAACCAGGTATACAAAAAGTTACATAGTGCAACTTTAAAGGTGTTGCACCTGTTTTTTACCTTTCTTAAAATGTAAAAAACAAAACAAAAAAACAAAACAACTATGTTAATTTTTAACCACTGGTCCAAAGTTTATTGTAAATTCCTAACAATTTCTAGCACTATAATTATTCATGATGAGTGTGTTCTTGTCATTAGCATGTTAACAGCGCACTTCCCGGTTCTTGGACAAAAGGAAAAGGTTTATACTTGGAGGCAGACAGCACACAGGGGTCTCGTCTCTACCCTAAAAGCTTCTTTCACAATATATCTGTAGTGGAGCAAAACCAAACCAATTTGATAAACTATATGTAAAATAAATCAGATAGAGCCACTTTGTTCTAACTTTTGCCATGTTGTACTAAAGGTAAGTAAAAGGCTTCATTTAGAAACCACACGCTTGTCCAGCCCATAGAGATGAGCCTGCTGGTGGCCGCTGAAGCAGATGGCCAATGGGACCCAGGGACTGCACTGGCACAGCCCTGTTCACTGCTTCTGTTACTCAGTAGTTAACACGTCCTGGAGACTATTACAGCAGCAGCCCCGAGTTTACAGCCTAACACAGTGCACTAATGGAGCCCTCTCCCTCCTCGCTCCCTCCTCGCTCTCTCCTCGCTCTGGGTTAGACCTCATCACTCCAGCTCAGTGCCAGGAAGTGTGTGTTAGCTCCCTGAATGTCCCACTGAAGTAGGCCTGCAGTCCGCTGACGAAATTCTTGGTTGACTTCAGACATGTCCCACCAATCGATTAGTCGACTAAAAAGGGAGCATGGCAAAAACTTGCATTACTATTACCTATCACTGTGTATCTGACCCAAACTGCCCTCACAGGACTACACCCGCGCGGGAGTTCATGTAAAAACTACAACAATACACTACAACTTCACAAACTCGATGCGATGTGCAGTAGTTTCATTAGAGCGATGCACACTGATTGTGAAATGAAAGTGAAACTAATACAATTGTGACGCAGTTGTTTTTGGGTGACTGTAACATTTTCAAAACAATGAAAGGGACATAGTGATCTAAAAATGTTATGTTTTAGCTGTTAATACCACATAGAAGTAAAATACCCAATTTTTTTACTTGTCAATCATGAGTTTAATCTGCCTTTTTACAGATAATACCAAAAAATACTAGATCTTCAGCTCACTCACTCACTTCTCCTTTCTGCTGTTGTCTCGTATAAATCCTTACAATCTAAATAAAATGATTAGTCAACGAATACACATTTTGGTCGAATAAATGACTAAAGGTGTACAGTGAATGCTTTATTTGACCACAGGCTGCACATGTTTTATGAGTGACCACACGCCTCTCACTCACAGCTGGTGTGAGTTTATAAGCTCTCAGCCAGTCATATTGATCATCTGTGCTCGTTGGCCCTGTGTAGAAGCCACTTTGAACCTTTATTCTTCTCTGTTGTCATGTTTGGAGTGTCCTTAAAAAGCCTAAGTGTGAACCTGTGTGCTCTGCAGATAAACGCTCAGGACATCCAGTACCAGGAGCAGCTGGGACACGGCAACGGAGGCACTGTTTACAAGTATGTGTTTATGTGTTCTGTGCTGCACCTCTTCATTCAAGTCCACACACAGCACACACTGTGTGTCTGCCTGGGATGGGTCGTAAGGATCTTTTCAGCCGGTACCGCTATTATTTGGCCTGCTGCTGTGTGCTGTGCATATATTTGCTCATACTGATAAAAGCTGAAGTAAAGATATATTAACTTTTCACTCAGGTTAAAGCAGATCTATCTATCTTAACCGTGTTTTAATTGTTTACTTCTGGTGTTCAAGATGTCATTGCTCTGATCCACCCCCTTTTTCACCATCACTGTTCTTGCTTCCTTCTCCTTCACTTATTAAGAAAATAGCATTGAAGGAAGCAAGAACGTGCTAGCACATAACATTTGTAGCACATGGTTATTTTGCTACAAAAAATAAATAAATAAAATAAGATGCTCACTAGAGTGATGTGCAGTTATCAATAGGAGGGGTCAACAGCTTTCTTGTGATGTTGATATAATCCAAATGATCCATGGTCCGAGGTTACACCACACACACTTCATGTTACTTTGTGTTACTACTACAGGACCTTACTTATGTTGACATTGTGAGACCATATGTTGATTCTGCATAAAAGAACAGTCATTTAACTTTCACTAGCAGCACATTTTAGGAACATTCAATCACAGTTGTTCTTAAAGCATGTTGTTAATAATATGACATAAATTCATATGATGTATGATGTTATGTTATTATTTTTTCACTATTTCAAAAGCTTTCACAGGTAGTCATCTGGAGACTGTTTTGTTTTCGACTCCATACAGAAGTATATTTTTCTTTTTTTTCTAGGTCAAAAACATGGTCCAGATGACTATCTTTGAAACATTTATACCATTTCTAGATGAATGAGGGATTACACTACTTTACAAGATACTTTTTCAGCCATAGCCTTCCTGAAGTATACTGACAAAAGTCTTGTTGTAGGACTGCAGCAATGGAATTGTATAATGGTTACTAACTACTTTTTTAAATGATCATCGACTATTTTCATACATGTTCATCATTGTCTATACATATGCTCAAACACATGCCAACAGAGGCTTTCTATAACAAAGACATCAGCTCAAAATATCAACAAAGATGAATTAATACTCATCAATAATGCACTTTTTTGTGTTTAACAAGATATGTCATATTTTGACTTGAATTGCATGATTGCTGTTAGGGATACAACGATCTGATATTGGTGTAGGATATTATAACTGACACTGAAAAATTATCTTAATGAGATATCGGTTTCCAGATATCTGTTTTGATGATATCCAGATTGCACCTATAAATTGATGTAATAAGACTATTTGCTGGTCATAGTTGGACCAGAAAGTCTCATAATGTTTTTTGCAGTTTTGTTTTATTTTTGCTTAAAGGAAATAAATACTGTTTTCAGTCTCTGCACTGGTATCGGTTGATATCAAGTATTAGCAGATTCTTAAAGCTATAGTATCAAAATTGATATTGGAAACTGAAAAAGCTTGGTGCATCACTAATTGCTATGACCATGGAGGACGGTTGTCAAAGCTTGAAACCCATGAATATACTCTCTGTAGAAAGCTTCTGCCAGTGTTACCTGGTTATTAAAAAAAATCTATGTATGTACAATATAAATAACCATTTGACTTGTCAACTAATCATAAAACACTATATGCTGACTATATGGATACTAATATAATCATAAAACAATCGGCGGCATTATCCCCTTTGACCAACTCAGCCACAGTTCATACATAGGGAAGACATGTGTTTGGCTTGTATGCCCCTTGTTTCTATTTCTTTTAATAATAGTATCATGCTTCCAGCTGCACAGAGAGTGTTCCACAGCCCTGCATTATGTGTCATATGATTATGAGCCTGAATTGATGGTGCCCTCACTGTAGGTGCTCCACCACACCATTAGCATACAGACAATGAGCCCTTCCCTCTTGAGGACTGTTCACCCCGCAATTATCTATCATTACATCAAATTAGTCAAACAAAATATCAGCATTTACTCAATCCCTTTTAGTTTATTGCACACTTGTATCACTCTATTGATCCCTATTAATCAGTATGGGGAGTTCTTTCTTCTTGGCTGTATTGTCCCATGTATTCTTTATCATAGGAGAAAAAATGTGCACTGTGTAAATTGTGTTGTCACTATTCTCGAGATATAAACTTGATACTCAATACCAATTCTTATACTGTGATGAAACAAACTCTCTAACACTCCTTATCTAGACAATAGAATGCCATTTTCAACATAAAATCAAGTTGCTGTTTTTTATTCCCATGTGTCTTATATGTGTGTAATTCCTCACACTGTACTAGTCTGTCTGCTCTTATACTTATTCTAATACAGATCAGCATCATTCTAAAGACATTCAGGACTTTTAGTATCAATAGATCAAATTAGTCAAACAAGCATTAATAAGCATTTACTCAATCCCTTTCAGTTTCTCGCACACTTGTATCACTCTATTGATCGCTCCCTTACTCCGTCTCTCCCCTTCTTCGTGTCTACCATCCTTCTCTTTCGTGTTTATCGCTCAGTGTTAGGACATCTTTCAGGCCACTTCGGGTCGTCATTTATTTATTCGGCTCTGAAGGTTGCAAACATATATGATATTGATTTCTGCTCGTAAGGACTGACAGGAGCAGACTTCATCGGCCCGTAGTAGCCGTCTCCTCTAGCCCTCCGCGCTTCCTCTGGAGTTAGATGTATGATCACCCCTGCGCTGTTATGACAAGGCTGGCATTTGTGTCACCACCTCCTCTCCTCTTTTTCCCTCTCTCCATCCATCAACCACCATCGAGCTGCTTTATTGAGATTGAAGTATTGATCACTGCTCAGGCTAACCTTCGCTTGACGCCGCGCTTTGTTTCGTAGGCCAAACCAGTAAATTTCTCTCCAGCGAAACTATATATACTAAACTATATATTTTCAACCCTCTCCACAGTTTATGGGAGGGTTTCATTAAAAGCCAATCGCTCATCGTGGCGCAGGTGAAAGGGATGGCTGATCCGTTTGGCGGTGGAAATGGTTACGCAGCAATGAGGGAAGCCAATATTGCAAGACCAACAACTTCTCAGTCAATTTAGCCCAGCAGAAAATCCATAGAGTTTGGTGGTGGTATTTTTTATGGTTGGGAGAAGAAAGGGGCAGATTAAGTGGTGTAACAGGACGCAGATGCTTGGGCCCACGCCTGGTCGATACACAGCCAGGTATTTTCCTGTGTGAACTATGACCTCTATGCATAGCAATATCTGCAGTAAAGCCACTTTGTGTCACTGTCCTCAGTATGGGCCAGTTCTTTCTTCATGGCTGGAGACATTTAATAGAGCAATTAAAGATGCTTCATGGAACTGGTTGAGGGTATGCCACCTGCTTGTCTCCATGGAGACAGGGCATGGTTTCACTGTCGGTATCAGTATATTTATACAAGGTCCCTGATATCTGTATCCTCTGATATCTATATTTGATAGTGATATTTGATACCGATATTTAATATTTTTGCACTGCATATATATATATATATATATATATATATATATATTTTTTTTTTTTTTTTTTGCATATTTTTGTAATTGGGTAAATGTAGATGCATAACTGTGATTGCGTCACTGGAAGATTTCTGACAAATCAAAAACAGACAAGCAGATTGCAGTTTTCCCAATACAAAAGTTACCTAGTGCACCTTTATTTTCATTATTTCAGTGCACTGCAGTGAATATACAATTACTGTAATGTATTAGGCATATTTTTGTATTACAATCTCCTTAAAGCCTTGTACACTTATTAGCTTCATATTCCTTCAAGAGCAAATTAAAACAGCTTCTTATCTGAGGTCACACTTCACTGTGTTTGTTTAAATCCACCTGTCACTGACTTCAGGACATGATGTTATGAATGGATTATCTCACTCCCTTTCTCTATCATCACTGACATGAGGCCGTCTCAAATGCTTCTCTTTATTTAGCATGTAGCATAATGTAAGACATAGAAGATAATGCAAAACATATGGTGGTATCAGTTTTTATCAATAACACCAACTCCTAGAGATCATCTTTCTGGCAAAAGAGCAATTTTATGCATGTGTGTATGGATGTATGTATATATGTGATATAGTTACACTGGGGAAAAAAAAAGTTCTGGACCCTTCTCAATGATTGAGGTTAATTTATTCATGTGTGCACTTCTCAGGTTAATTATATGTCACCTTTTAGCACATTTCTGATGGATTCATTTAATATAACTAATAATAAAACATATACTATATAATATCAAATCTACAAAATAATCCACACAAATATTGAGATTCTTTTTGACCGTGTTGCCCTCCCTTATGTACTTGGCGATGTGAACATGTTGAGTAAATTAGACATGATGTGCTTCAGTGTATTGTTTTGGTTTATTGTGTATTTCCAGATGGTGTCTCCCTGGTCCTGAGCCGTCGCCTTTACCCCCGCTTATATAATAAGCCTATCACGGGAGAAAAGCCTCCATTGGTTTCCCACCTTTTAACCTTTTAGCCCGTTTATGACCCACAGCCATTTGGACTCAATTGGATGTTACCAACACCTCAGCTCCCATAGCCACGCACTGACCCGGCCATCCATCACTGTCGCCCTGTGTTTGTTTATTACACTCTCTCTGTCGGAGGTCCATCTTGTGCACGCGCCTGCTGCCCCCATGGCTTTAAACGCAATAACAAGGACACTCCGGCACTTTCTGTGACTCATGGCTCCCCCCGTGCACTTAAAACTAACATACGGCGCACACACCACTGCTATGTACTTAAACACTGCATTGTGTCGTCTGATGCTTCACTGGCTGCTCTTAATATTTTATGTTTTAGTGTGCTTCAACTGTATAATGGTACTTTTCTCATATAAAACATAAATAACATAAGAGTAATTCAACACATAACTCAAAATAATGCATTATTAGGAGCAGTCTTTATCATTTAAGGGTCCCGTATTATGCAAAATTTACCCTTGTGAG